ACAATTCACGGGGAAGCGAGTTTTGGCACATGTCATTGGATAAGAAAAATTGTGTTAATATTTTTGACTATGTGGCTATTTGCGCCGATTTTGAGGATGAACATGATCACATTATTATTCTACTATTTAGTTATACCAGCAAAAATACAACGTAAGATACCGACTTGGCTGCATTCGCCTCATCTGGGTATCGAAAAGACACTTGCAAGAAAAAACTATACTACTGGCCCGGAATGAATATCCAAATTAATGTAATATTTGTGAGAAGTTTAGATGTAATTTCAGAACTGTCGAACAAAATTATTATTTCTGATAAAATTTCGACAATAGCTCAATATTATCTATAGCTCAAAATTTGAGAGCAATAATAATTATCAGTTAGTTGACTCAGGGCGGGTTTCTTACTACTCATTTAAACTAGGCTTAACTTGCTGTTAGATTAAACTTGGAACAAATTTCGGCACACTTTAACTGATGATTGTGTTTTCCAGTAATCAGTTAAAAGTTAGAAAATTTGGAAGCATTGCCATACTTTTTCGTTAAATTACATATGGCATTACTAACAATTTTCACGTAAATACGGCAATTCTTAAAATTTGACAGCCGCGTTCTGTAAAAATATATTTAATTTTGTAATTTTTAAATAATAATTTGTGTCTTTTAAAATGGTAGAAAATAGAAAGAACATAATTGAGTGCAAAAAAAAGCAGGCAGGACGAATTCCGAAGAGAAAATAAGATGGGAGGAAATTGAAGAACATTGAAGTTCTTACAAAACTTTGAAAACAAAATATGAAAATATAAAGAAGGAAGCTAAAAAAAACTTTGCCTTGGACAGGATAGAACCGTATAAAACATCCCAACACTAGACGAAAATGTGCTAAATATAGTACAGGAGGAACAATTAATTGGACATGAGTCCATCTATGATGATGACAGTAAGTATTTATAACCGACGCTGTAATAGTAGTAATGGTATGGATTTTAGACTACACCATTTTAAGTTTAAATTGAAACTTATATTGGGATAAACCAAAATGAATTTCAGAAATCCAATTTAATATTGAGACATACCAAATTAAATTTAGGAATCAAAATTGATGAAATTGATGAATTTCCAACTTAATATTGAGAAAAACCCAATTTATATTGAGAAATCGAAATTAATATTGGGACAATACAAATTGAAATTGATAAAATACAAAATGATATTAAGAAAACCTAAATTAATATTAGGAAATAATAATTTTGTATTGAAATTTATAGTATTTTAAATGCATATCCTATTTAAAAAATTTATAAGAAAAATATTTTCAAATAATTCCATACAAATTTTAAATTTCTTATTGTCATATATTAATTTCTCAATTTCAATTTGTAATTTCTTAATATAATGTTGGAATTCTGAATTTCAGTTTGTTTTTTCTCGATGTTAATTTCTATTTCTTAATTTAATTTTATTTTATTATTTCGCAATAATAATTTGAATTTCTCATTTTCAAATAGGTTTTTCTCAATATTAATTTAAATTTCTGAACTAAAATTTTTATTTTCTAAATTTTAATTAGTAATTCTCAATATGAATTCGTATTTTCTCAATTTAAACTTAAAATGGTGTAGTTTATAGACAAGACTATAGACTAGAGTATAGACTAGGCTATAGACTAGATTATATGCTAGATTATAGGCTAGGCTATAGGCTAGACTATATACTAGGATACAGACTAGACTATAGACTAAGCTGTAGACTAGACTATAGACTAGGCTATAGACTAGATTATAGACTAGGCTATAGACTAGACTATAGACTAGGCTATAGCCTAGACTATAAACCAGGCTATAAACTAGATTATAGACTAGTTTATATACTAGGATACAGACTAGACTATAGATTAGACTATAGACTACACCATTTTTAAGTGAAATTGGGAACATTACCCATTAAATTGAGAAAATTCCAAATGAAATTTTAATTTTCAATATGAAATTGAGAAAATTCCGAATAAAATTAAAAATTTTAATTTCAAATTGGGAAAAATACAAATGAAATTGAGAATTTCAAATTAATATTGAGAAAATTCAAATTGATTTTGAGAATTTCCAATTTATATTAAGAAAATTCCAATTGATTTTGAGAATTTTAATTTCAAATTGAGAAAAGTCCAAATGAAATTGAGAATTTCTAATTAAAATAGAGAAAATTCCAATTCAAATTGGGAAAGACAATTTGAAATTAGGAAAATTCCAAATGAAATTGAGAAAAATTCCATTGAAATTTTCAAATGAGAAAATTTCTAATAAAATAGAGAAATTAAAAAAAGTAGAAAAATATGAATGCAGATATATGTATGTAAAAAACAAATTTTATTGTACTCTATGTAAGGAAATAACAATGAAACATAAATATAAAAATTAAACAAAACAAAGTTGAATTGTTTTGCATCGCCCATCTATGTGCAGTTTTATAGCAAATGCTTAGCGATGCTGCCAGTTCAACCCAATCCAATCCTTTATTTGCTGCATCTACTATTCGATGGCGATCGGTATTAGAATAATTTGTATATTTTTTCCTTATAATATGTTCTGAATCTGTAAAGAAAATAGGATTTTATAACATTATTTATTTTAATTGACTTCAAAACTTATCTTCAATTTCTCCTCTGCACAAAGGACAATTGGTTGCGACCATAGTTATACATTTTTTATGAAATAAGTGACGACATGGAATGAGTCGGTTTATTTCATCGCGGGTCATATTTGTTAAACAAATTCCGCAATTATCTTTTAAGGCGCAATTTACATGAAGACTTTTCAGACGTCTGTTTTTTCCAATTCTCTTTTGAGAATCTTCCAAAAAATCATGAACATTTATACGGTGATTTTTTACATGCAACTATGCATGTCTTTTTTTGATGTTTAATTGTATAATCCTTTTTAATTACTTATTCGTAATAAAAATAAAATGAAATTTTTAACATAAAAACCATTTAATTTGATTTAAAAAAATTTAATTACACGCTATAGTATTTTTTTAATGCAAATTTTAATGTTTTCATGTAAAAAAAAGGCATAATTATTTTTTTACATGAGCATAATATCAACAGTACGAATGAGTTTAAAGAGGAATGTCAAAAACAATCATGAAAATCCCAAATCATGTTTGTTTTCTTACCCCCCATTCTTCTCTACCCCGCTCACCATCAATCATCGACAAACATGAAAACAGACGTCTGGGCAAACATGAAAAAAAATCATCGTGTAAATTGGGTGTAACTCAATTTCACCCGTTTTCACTTTTAAGAATGTTACTTACACCCAATTTACACGATGATTTTTTTTCATGTTTGCCCAGACGTCTGTTTTCATGTTTGTCGATGATTGGTGGTGAGCGGGGTATAGAAGAATGGGGGGTAAGAAAACAAACATGATTTGGGATTTTCATGATTGTTTTTGACATTCCTCTTTAAACTCATTCGTACTGTTGATATTATGCTCATGTAAAAAAATAATTATGTCTTTTTTTACATGAAAACATTAAAATTTGCATTAAAAAAATACTATAGCGTGTTATTAAATTTTTTTAAATCAAATTAAATGGTTTTTATGTTAAAAATTTCATTTTATTTTTATTACGAATAAGTAATTAAAAAGGATTATACAATTAAACATCAAAAAAAGACATGCATAGTTGCATGTAAAAAATCACCGTATAAATGTTCATGATTTTTTGGAAGATTCTCAAAAGAGAATTGGAAAAAACAGACGTCTGAAAAGTCTTCATGTAAATTGGGCCTTAATAATAAGAAATTATTTTTTTTGTTGACATGAAGTTAAAAGCCTTCTTGACCAAAAAAAAAAGTAATCCAACATACTTGGATTTAACATTTTTTTTACATACATAGTTAAAGAATTGTAACATAAAAGGTTTTCATTTTCATTTGAAAATTTCTAAATTCTCAATTTCATTTGTAATTTCCCTGATTTCAATTTTTTTCCCCAATTTGAATTGGAATTTTCTATTTTAATTAAAAATTCTCAATTACATTTGGACTTTTCTCAATTTGAAAATAAAATTCTAAAAATCAATTGGAATTTTCTTAATACAAATTGGAAATTCCCAAAATCAATTGGAATTTTCTAAATATTAAAAGCAAATTCTCAATTTTATTTGGAATTTTCTCAATTTTTAGGACTTTCTCAATATGAAATTGAAATTCTTTATTTCATTTGGTATTTTCTCAATATTAATATGAAATTCTCAATTTTATTCGGAATTTTCTCAATTTCATATTGAAAATCACAATTTCATTTTGAATTTTCTCAATATTAAATGAAAATTCCCAATTTCATGTTGAATTTTCCCAATTTCATTTAAAAATGGTGTAGACTATAGACTAGACTATATTATAGAGTAGACTATAGACTAGGCTATTTACTAGACTATAGACTAGGCTACAGACTATACTACAGACTAGACTATAGTCTAGTCTTTAGTCTTGTCTATAGTCTAGTCATTAAAAAATTAAAAATAAAACAAAACATCCTGCTAAATTTATCTAATTTCATTTAAAATTTTATATTTTTATATTCCTTTCAGAGATTCAAATAAATACATATGTATATTAGAAAATAAGCCTATAGATGTTGCTGAAAATAGTTGTGAAGAAATAAATGTTACGACATGTTTTTGCATTTTTTTATTTTGGACAAATTCCTTGTTATGATTATCAGGTGGTTGAGTGAAACAATGGAGTTTAATTCTAACCCAAAGTTAACCTTTATTTAAAAACAATAATTAATAATAAAACAAATAACAAATTAATTTAAAATAGTTACCGCGTATATGACTGTGTGATGTTTACTAGACGACTTAACAATGTACAATAAACATAACAAAATGTAATAGCGGCAAACTATGTATGTATGACAATATAAAAGTATGTATATAAGACAATATAAAAACGACAGTTATAATTTTAGTACAAAGAACATAGAAGTTGCTTATTTGGGGTTGCCAACATCTCTCTTTCTTTTAAGAAGATGATAATCTGGAGTCCATACAGGAGGACGCTTCCTACGATTGGACCTTCGAAGAGCTGGGGAAGCTTCATCTGTTTGAATTACAGGATCTGTTGTTGAATTACTAGTCGTTGCACCTTCTTCTAATGTTGACGTTAACTTTTCTAAAGTTGTCGGTTGACTATTCACGTTTGTTGAACCAGATGGTGAAGTAACTAGAAGTGGATCTTGAACAGGTTGCAATTCATCTGTAGATGTAGTCTGTCCATCAGTGAGTGGTACATATTCAATCTCATTGTCTCTCATATTTTGATCTCTAGGAGGAGTCTGTTGAGCTGTTAAATTGAAATAATCAAATAAAACATCATTAGCTGCTATGTTCTCAGATTCAGAATAACGAGGTCTTAGTTGGTTTGTATGAGACCTAACTGCACGAAATTCAGGAATGTTTTCGATTTCGACTTCGTAATTGACATTTCCGAGTTTTCGTTTGATAATACCTGGGAACCATTCAGATTTATTTAATTTGTATAATTTTGCGTAAACTTTCTGACCAATATTGTATATCCGCTCTTTAGCACCATTACGTTTGTTATATTGTTCTTCCATTTTCTCGTTTCGTTGTAATTGGGATTCTGTTGGCTTTTTAAGTAGATCAAGATTAATCCTTATTTTTCTCCCCACGAACAATTCAGAAGGCGATTTGCCACCAGAGCTAGGATTTGGTGAAGAACGATAACATTTTAAAAATGTTTGTAGATTTTCACTAGAAGTGCCCGTTCCTTCGAGTTTTTTCAAAGCGCGCTTTAAAGTGTCAACGAACCTTTCTGCCTGACCATTTGATTGAGGGTGGTATGGAGCTGTAAATTTGTGTAAAATGCCATTTTCTTGACAAAACTTGGAAAACATGCTGCTGGAGAACTGAGTTCCATTATCACTCACTATTAATTCAGGGTTTCCAAACAATGAAGTGAAATCGCGCATACAATTTATAATTGAATTTGAAGAAATCGATTTAATTTGATAAATTTGTGGCCACTTCGAAAATGAATCTACTATTACGAAATAATAAAAATTATCAACAGGACCGGCTATATCTATATGAACTCTTTCCATAGGTTGTTTTGTTAATGGCCATGAATAAAGTGAAGTTTTTGGTAACGATTTTGCTACTGAAGAGCATTTGGCACAATTCTGTACATACCTTTTAATTTCATCATCCATATGGGGCCAATAAACATAGCTGCGAGCCAGTGCCTTTGTCCTCTCGATACCATGATGACCTTTGTGTAATTCTTTTAGAATGCGTTTTCTAAAACAGCTGGGTATTATAATACGCTCCCCGTACATAACACAATCATCAACAATACTTAAATCTTGTTTTCTCGAAAAATAACACTGAATATCAGAAGATTTTTCATTTGGCCACTTACCAGTTTGTAAGAATTTTATAAGATCTTGGAGATTTGAATCCTTTTTAGTTGCAGCACAAATCATGTTGAATGTTACCGGCAAGGCATTTGTGATATCGTTAATTACCTTTTTGATGTCATCTTCCAATTGAATACAAGCGATGATAGTGTCTTCGTTTGGTTTTGGTACATTGGAAATAAGACGAGATAAAATATCAGCTGCTCCGAATTCATGAGTTGAAATGTATTGCAATGTAATTTTTCTCAGCTGGAGTGAGAGACCTTGACGCATGATAAATTGCTTTTTCGCTGCCATCAGGAAAAACATGACAGATATATGCACCCAGTCCAACGTTTGAGGCGTCAGCTGCTACTTTGATAGGAAGCTTTGGATCAAAGTGAGTAAGCAACAAATCAGATGACAGAAGCTGTTTAAACCGCTCAAAACTGCGTTGACATGATGATGACCAATTCCATGCTGTGTTTTTCTTGAGTAAATTATCCAAAGGATCTCTAAGCTTTCTCATTTCATGTAGAAATTTACCGTAGTAGTTAATTGCTCCTAGAAAAGACCGCAATTCACTAATATTCTTGGGAGGCGAAAATTGTAAAATTTTTTTAATTTTATTTTTATCTGGATAAACGCCTTTTTTTTCAAAATGGTAACCAAGGTATGTACACGAAGTTTTAAAAAATTTGCATTTTTCAAAATTCACTGTAATGTTGTATTTTTTTAAACGTTCAAATACCTGTTTTACAGCTGCTATATTTTCTTCGCGTGTTGGTGTGGCTACAATAACATCGTCCAGATAAGGAAAAACGCCTTTAATACCAGAAATAATTGATTCCATACACTGTTGAAAAGCACCAGGAGCCGATCTCACACCTGGGGCAAGCCGATTAAAAGTGTACAAGCCACGATGAGTGTTAATAACTAGTAGTTTTTTCGTGTCATCGTCGACTTCTATTTGCATGTAGGCATTATTTAAATCAATTATTGAAAATATTGAACAGTTGTTAAAATTTATAAAAATTTCATCTGGAAGAGGTAGTGGAAACGTGTGAGGTTCTAGCTGATCATTTAGTCCAGTGGAGTAATCCCCACAAATACGTAGATTACCAGAAGCCTTTTTCACCACCACAATGGGTGCAGCCCATTCAGAAAAATTTATTGGTGAAATGATACCTTCCCGTTCAAGTTTTTGAATTTCACTGTCTAGTTGATCTTTTGCTGCATACGCTACTTGCCTTTTAGGACGAAAAACAGGAACAGCTTGTGGTTTAAGTTGTAGGTGAACTTTAAAATGAGTGCAGTGTCCAATTTCATTCCTAAAAACTTCTGGGTATGTTTTACGCAATTCAGATTCTGTGAGTGTGTTGTTAACTTGAAGTTGTTTACACGATGTATAAGAATCAATGGGTTGGTTCCACAATTTAAATTGTTCCATTAAGTCAGAACCGAAAAGATTTAAATCAGGAAGTGATGATACCAAAATGTTGCATGTTTGGTTTTGATTATTGATAACCACTGTACACTGAAACAGACCTATTATGTTAATTTCATTTGTAGAAGCATCTCTTGGCTTGTGCTGAGAAATTTCTAAAGTTGGTTTACCAATTTTAACCCAGTTCTTCTTTGAGATGATCGTGACATCCGAACCAGTATCATGTTGAAGAGAGAGATTTACATTGTTAATTTGTAATGAAATGTATCGTCTATTTTGACATGCTGCTGTGGTTGCATATACGCTTTTTATTGTTTTACGCGTTTTCTTGAAATTACTTTTATTTTGATGTTGCTGATTATTTTTGTTTATATTTGGCTTTTTATCTGGAAAGCATGAGCAAAATCCTTCCTTATGTCCAACTTTACCACACTGTGAGCATTTGTGTGTTGTATAACCACAATCACGGACAAAATGCATATTTCCACATTGCCAGCACGGTCGCCTTGGCTTTAGGTCTTTATTAGCATTCTGTGGTGTACGTTGCTTGGAACTATGAACTGAGTTGACATTTGGATTTTCATTTGTTGAAACATCGCGTTTAAGACTGTTGATACGTTCCACTTCAGCGACTAAATTATCCAAATTCAATTGATTTTGCTCCGTTTCAGACTCTAGTAGAGTCAAAAGTCTCGCTTTATATTCTTGATCCTTATGCGATGACAATCCATTTACAAATATAAGGCATTTAAAATTATCCGCAGTGCATTTATTTATTAAAAAATTTTCACAATGGCGATTTACTTTGGCTGCGTAACTGATTATGTCTTCGTCTTCTTTTTTTACATTTGTTATACATTTTACACGAGTACTGAATAGACTCTCTTTCCTTCCAAAAAGTTTTTTCAAGATGTCCACTGTTTGTTGGAATGTGACGTCACGAGGTTGTTTTGGAAGTAAGTAGTCTTTGTATTTGTTAAAAACGCCATTACTAACCTTTCTCAACAATAACCTCACTTTTGCAGCATCATCAAGTTGATCTGCATCAACCTGGAAAACATCTTCATAGCGCTCGTACCAAGTGCCGAAAATCTGGTTTTCTTCAGGTTCGTAGGTAAACTCACGTATATTTTTCGATAAAATGTCCATCAAGGCTTCTGGGGCAGTTACACTTGCAGAAGGTGTTGTTGACCCACTTACATTACTTGCCGTTGATCCTTGTGTAGCAATAATCAGTCTTTCCATTAGTTGGTGTTGTTTTTCCATAGCCTCTTGTTGACGCGCTAGGAGTTGTCCAACCACTTGTTCCAAAGAAGTCATTGTGTTTATTAATTTCACTCGCAACAAAAAAAAATAAAACGATCGTGTTTTTTTTTTATATTGCAATGTCGTTGCAATTTTTTTTTATGTTTAAAATCCTCGTCGCCAATTGTTATGATTATCAGGTGGTTGAGTGAAACAATGGAGTTTAATTCTAACCCAAAGTTAACCTTTATTTAAAAACAATAATTAATAATAAAACAAATAACAAATTAATTTAAAATAGTTACCGCGTATATGACTGTGTGATGTTTACTAGACGACTTAACAATGTACAATAAACATAACAAAATGTAATAGCGGCAAACTATGTATGTATGACAATATAAAAGTATGTATATAAGACAATATAAAAACGACAGTTATAATTTTAGTACAAAGAACATAGGAGTTGCTTATTTGGGGTTGCCAACATTCCTATTATATATTTGTAAATATTTTAGCATGTTCTCAGGAGTTTGATAAATGGAAGCATTACTCCCCAAAAATGCTAAAAACTAAAAGACATAAAGCATTAGAAACGAAAGAGAAGCAAACAACTAAAGGTGTCTGCTGGTCCGATGTTGCCAAAAAATTGAAAAAATAATTTGAAAATGGAAATTATGCAAGAGGAATGGACACTGAAAAAGAAAAAAAATTAAATGGAAATCGGTGTATTGCAACAAAGAGTGGAGTTGAATAGTTTAGAAATTCAAGAAAAATTAAATAATCAGAAAAAAAAACATCCCAAAGAATTTTAAATAATCATATAGATCTCGTTTGAGAATTTTTTTTATATTATTAATTATTTTTTTTTCTATTAATTGAATTTTTGCTGTATGTTATTTTGTCGTGTTAAAACGAGGTGTAAGTGTATTTCAAAATTTTTTATTAAACACCTATAGTGTTTTTTTGTTATTAACTTCATAATATGAACCTATGAACGTAGATAATAATTAAATGAATTGTTATTTAGTTTTTTATTAATGTAATTTTTTGTTTGGTAACATATTTTATAACTTTTAGATTATTTTTTTAACATAATCATTTATAAGTTTTCGTCGAATTTGATTTTTACTATCATTATTGGGACCATTGTTGTTTCGAGCCGATAGTACACAATTTACCGCTTCCTCAACTTTATCTGTTACACTTGGCACTTGTTGTTCGTTGTTAATATAGCAAATATTATTTAGAACAGCTGTTGCAACAATGATACTCTGAACTTTATCAAATTTTAAACGTATGTCTAATGATAAAATTGGAAATCTTCTTTTCCATATCCCATAGCTTCTTTCGACATAGCTACGTGTTCTTATTTGGATAGCCCTCGCCCATCAAAAAATCTCGAGTAGATTTTTGAATTTCTAAAAATATTGGAATCATGATCAGATCCTTGCCAACTAGCTACAATATTGGTAATTTTTAAATTTGCATCACAGGTTGTTTGCACATTTAACGATAAGAATCCTATAAATTTACCTCCTTAAAAGGTATACCTACCTGAAATGCTTAAAAAAAACTGTTCCTCGGGACACTCTAATTGACATACAGTGCTGTGCAAAATAATAGACTTATTGTTATTTGTTTAAAATATTTCATAATGTGGAAGTTTTAATTATTTACTCAAAAACTACACTGTTTTTACTAAAACTTTAATGAACGTAAAAAATTGCAAAAGATCATTTTTCTATTGTTCAAAATAATAGACTTTTTGAAACTTCTTTAAGAGAATATTTTTATTTCATGAAATAACAAAACAAAATTACTTTTTTTATTCATATTATAGAAATTCAGAACCAAGGTGCTCATCATTAAAACGCATAGAATACTTCTCACTAACGAGAACTATCCGGTTTTCTGGACCAGTTTTTTGCTTCGGAGTTTTATTTCGAACGTTAAAAAAATATAAAATTTATAGACGACCACCGATTTTCTGAGGGAAATCTATAGGAATTTAGGTTTATATTGATCCTCATAAAATTTAGTTTACGGCTTAAGTTCATTTATTGCTTATTTATGACTATTAAGTGCGATACTAATATATATAAGATTTATAAAAACAACTTTTTGAAATGGGTCTTATATGGGCATTGGGTCAAATGTGGTCCGATTTAAAAAAAAAACTGTACAGAATTATTTGTAGAGCCTTAAAACATACTCCTGACTAATTGTATAATGATTGCTGCATAATCGAGGAGCTTACGAGTATTTTAGCGGGGCTATGTGGCTTAAAGCAACTAATCACCATCTTTCTTGGACCATAAAGTGCTATATACCAATTTTTTCCCAGATATCTTTAAGCTTCAGATCTGTAATTTAACATTAATCAATTCTGGAGGTGGTTTTGAGTCTATTGGAGTCCTTTAAGCTTAGTTAAGTACTATTATTTTTGATTTTTACTAACGTTACCTGACTCACATAATATAAATTGTAATGACATAGGGCATAAAATTCAAAATAATTCCTGATTTTTCCAGTTGAGGATAAAAAATAATCTTTTTATATTCGTGTAAAAGTGAAAAATAATGAATACATGTATTTATTTGATAGACTTATTGCATTTCACCTTGCTTTAAAACCGGTAAAACTTTTTTGTTTTTAAAGTAAAAAAATCTAATATCCCGAAACCCGATTTTTGAAAATAGTTAAAGAATCGAAATTATCTAGGATTGTTTCTATTAATTATATTTTTTTTTACGAAAATTGCCTTCTATTGGTATTTAATTTCATACAGGAAGTAACATTTTAAAATAAGTCTATTGCACAGTTAAAATTACATCTTTTTCTGAAAAGATAAAGAATACCACTAAAACAGGAAAATACATTTTTTTATAATAACCACCATTTTTAGTACTGACAATACCAAAAACGATGGCACCTAAATATTTTTAAAATTATAATTTTTACGAGAGATATGTATATCAAAACAAATATATTTCCTTTTTAACAGCCTATTATTTTGCACAGCACTGTATATATAAATTTAGGAATAATATAAAATTTTCTTTTTAATACCGGGTTAAGAAATTTTTATTGGGTGCAGACCATTGCCGCTATAACTTTTAGGAACTTGACAAGTTGTAAAAATTCCTGTTTAGCTTGTTGAAGTTCCTTTTCCGACAGTGGAAATCTTATAAAATTGTCCTTTAAAAAAACTATATATATAATGCGAGTCACCACTTTCGATATTGTTGATTTTGATACGATTTAAGTAGCCAATCGTCATCAGCATTCCACCGGTGGCGTACAATTTGAGTGTTATTAATAATAACATTTGTTCAGCAGATATTTTCTGCTCAAAATAACAATAAGGGTTTTCATTTAAACGTTCAAAACCCTCGTAAACTGTGCAACCTGTGCATGTTTCCATTCTCGCAATTGAATTGTATGGAAATTGATTTGCCCAACCCTTATAAGTTTGAGCGATTATTTAGACTGGCAAACTTGAGCAAACTCATTGTGCATTTCATAAATCCGTTCACTATTGTTCACTTTTGAATTTATGGACTTAAATATTCACATTTTATACATATTTTGTACAATTGTTTGTTAAAATAATTTATTTTTTTGATTTCGTTTGACATTGTTTTAAAATGTTTATAAATATTGTAATTGAACAAAATTTGAACAGGGGTTTCATGAAACACTTGCACAAATCGTAAACTTATGCGTTTAAATGAAAACCCTTAATATATTCGTTTTTTGGTATTGTATAAAATTTGTTGTGTTGAATTTTATATAGAACCTAGGTACATATGTATTTAAAATCTATATATATATAAAAATTAATGTGTGTTTATTTGTTTGTTTGTGGGTTTGTTTGAAGTCTATAGACTGCTAAACGGCTAGACCGATTTTCTTGAAATTTTCACAGTGTCTTCCTGTATGTCTGGAAGGAACTATAGGCTACCCCTTATTTAAAAATTTCAAGTGGGCGAGGTGCCACGCCCACATACAAAATCAATATTAAAAGTAGCATATCTCAGAAACGGCAACAGCTAGACACCTCAAATTTTTTAATGACAACTTGGACAGATATATGAACATATGGGCGGCCTAGATATAGTGGGCGTGTCACCTCCTATATACAGATAATCTTAAATTAGTATATCTGAGAAAATATAACAGCTAGAGTCCTAATTTTTTTCGGAGCCACTTTAGTATCAACATGAATATTTAGGACAAAAAATGGACGGACTAGCAATAGGGGGCGTGGCACATCCCATATGAATTAAATAGAAATATTCGTTTATCTGGGAAACTATTAGAGCTAAAATCTTAAAATTTTGCATTAAGAACCTTAACATCCATGTGAACATGTGGGGGAAAACGGACGGACTTTCATTAGGGGAGCTTGGCACCTCCCATAAGAATTAAATGAAAAAATTCGTATATCTGAGAAACTATTAGAGCTTAAATCCTTAAATTTTTCACGAACAACTTTTGCACCCATGTGAATATTTGGGTAATAAATTGGAGGACTAGCAATAGGGGGTTGGCACCTCCCATATGAATTAAACAGAACATTTCGTTTATCTGGGAAACAATTAGGGCTATAATCTTTATATTTTGCAAAAAGAATTTTAACGTCCACGTGAAATTTACGGAGAAAAATGGGCGAACTTTCATTAGGAGGTCTTGGAACCTCTCATATGAATTAAATACAAAAAATTGTATAAGTATCTGTATTGTATAAGTAGGGCGCGTGATACCTGCCATATGAATTGAATAGAAAAATTCGCATGTCTGGGTTGTTATTAGAGCTACAATCTTCAAATTTTGGACGAAGAACTTTGACAACCATGTGAATATTTCGGTTAAAAATTGGCGGACTAGCATTAGGGGTGGGGTACCTCCCATATGAATTAAATACAGAAATTCGTATTTGTGGGAAACTATAGGAGCTAGAGTCCTCAAATTTTCACGAAGAACTTTGAAAAATAGCGGACTTTCAATAGGGGCTTGGCATCTTCTATACGATATAAATATAGAAATTCGTATATTTGGGAAACTATTAGATTATTCAAGTTTTTCATAGGTGACATTAAAATCAAAATTGATGTTTGGAAAAAATTGGCGAACTTGCAATAGTTGGCGAGGCATATCCCATATGAAGTAAATATAAAAAAATGTATAGGGAAACCATTACAGCTAGAATCTTTAAAAATCGTGAAGTGGGTCTTTTATATATATTGTTTTTAGGGTAGCAAATCACACTGGGTGTAGCTAGTACTTATTATACAAATTTTACAAATATCAACCGGGTTTATAAAGATAAGAAAGAAGCTTACGTTCTGAACATATTTTAAAATTCATGAACATTTTAAAATAATTTTTAACTTAAAAAATTTAAACATGTACGAAGTTGACCTCAAATGAAAAAACGTATATTGTTATGGATCCTTATAATTTAAAGATTATTATTTTAACAATTTTAAAAAATGCTTTGAAATTGATCAGAAAATATTTAAAAGTTAGTATTTTTTAAGGTTTTAAAATAAGAATATAATTTCAGAAATTTTAAATGCTATAAATTTATATATACAAATATGAATTAATTAAATATAAATAAATTTATAATTTCTAATTTCACCAGTATTGAGAAAATGGCGATAAATATTTAAGACTATTTTTTTTTTAATTTTGTATTTATGTTTGTTAAATATAGTTGTAGTATATAGTATAATTGATATATAATATTTGTGGAATACTAATTCTACAGTCGTATAGTACTGACCATAGTTATATTTAATTATTGTTTTAATTAACTTAGTTTAAAGCTTTATTTAGTACAATTTAAAGTTTTTTTTTAATAAGTCTTGTTTTATGAGAATTTTGTAAATTGAAAAATGAAATATAATTAATTTTGGTATTGTGTCAATATAACCCAATTTGGGTCAAGTAGTAAGTAGCAAATCGCCTGAAAAGTTCTAACATTTATCTGTGACAATAGCAGAACATTTTCAGGGCATAGTCATCGATGCAATAACTTTGACTGCTGTAGAGATTAATGCGACTTATAGTGCCTGTCAATGCAGTGCTATAGCTAGACATTCTGACGGTTGATTCAAAGAGACCAAGACCGGGCTTTGTTTGCAGACGTAATGTTATATCAATTGAATAATCACTGATCCCCAATTCTTTAACGATTTTGTGATGGGGCGCAGCTACGGTAGCATATGTTATTGAGTTCAAGTATAAAACACGACACTGAGGATGATCTTTGAGACGATCGTTTATTAATTTGACAATGTAACGGGCAGCTTTTTGTACTCGACCATCATTGGTGGGTAATTCTTGGTGCTGATGACAACTGCACCAATGCGAGGCAATGTAGGCATTTTCGCAAGTGCGGCTTTTTGGAATCGGCAAAAAGAGGCTAATACTTCGTGGCATACTTGTATCAGGATCGTTCAGTTCAGCGCTGCGTTTGATTAATTGTTTGGCACTTAACTTGCGCAAGTCAAGCAGATCCAACATTGTAGCATGAAGATCGTAAGGCGTTGATAAACGTTTTGCATTAGCTTCCAAATTGCTGACTGCTTCTGGGTACTTCTGTTTAAACCACGGCGGATAGAGTGCTATAAGAAGTGGAAGTCGCTCTTCCATCATGCCCTGGTAGGTCTTGCGAAACGATCCCCACCTTATGCCATGATCACTCATAAGAAATATAATTGTGCGATTGAGTATTCCATGTGTGTCAAAGTTTTCCAAGAGATGTTTTATGTCTTCATCGAATAACATTGGCATATTGAAAAGGTCATGAGTCATTGCAACCGTCCAAAAGAAAGCAAAAAAGTTTTCATGCTTCATCACCGGTATTAGTTTACGAATATACTCGAGCAAAACATCGGCTGTCCGGCGTCCACCCATACAGAGAGCGACATTTAAACGCTTCTCGTAGCTGATGTGTCGTTCCATCTCGAGAAGTACAGGCCGAAGGTAGTAATCTGTGGGGGCCTTTTTGAATCCAGAATGTCGCCAGTTGAAAAGACTCAAAGCACCAACATCTTCGGCGTAGACTGTTTTGAAACCAGCTTCTTTGTAGCGTTTCCATATTAGTGAGCAGTTATCATAAAGACTACTAGAAAATTTAGGAGGTGGACCTAGGCATGAAATGGCCACCTCATCCTCGTCAAAACCTGTTAAAACTGGCATAAGATTGGGGTAAGTATTATCGCCCACTTTGTTGTAGCCCCAGAATTCAATGTAGTTCAGTTTGTTGTGTATATATGATGCACTAGAACGCATTTGTCGCAAGAAATTCAAATGTGATACACTGTCCATTCCCAAGATCATAACCGACAGACGATTATCACTACTTTGGGTTGTAGTATGATTATTAATTTTAATGCGTGAGGAATTTGACCCAGATGAGCTCTTGGTGAAGTCATCCTCGTCCAATAACAATTCGTCTCTATTAGTACTGCTTAATATGGCATTTAAGGAAACATTTTCAGTGACAAAGAAATGAAAATCCTTATAGATAATGTTTTCTTCGTTATTTTTCGGCCAGCACTCGACCATTAGGAATTCAATGCCCGGCTTTATACTAACATGTGCATTGTAACCTAGTTGAAACGGAACCGGTTCTAAATATTGATTGTGTTGATCATTTATTCTTCGTATTTCGGTATAATTACAATACAAATCCGACAAGTCTCGTATTTCGTAGGTGTCATAGATTTCCTTTTCATTCATGTTCAACATGAGAACTGCACCACCAACATCACTGGTGCGCATTAAAGCTTTTTTGCACGAAAAATTTCTTGGCTTATACATGAATTGAATTATATTGTCATCGGTGACAGGAAAGTAAGGCATGCGGCATCCAGGCAAATCAATAAAATATGCCTGGCTTATATTGTAGTCGGCATCGATGCGGGCGATAAATTCAAAGCGGTCCCTTAAATGTATTAATTTCGTTTTCAAATTAAAATCTATAAAAATATAAGAGAAGAAACAGATGCATAGAACCACTATGATTATTTTCTTGAAGTGTTTTCGTTTCTTTGTCATATTGTAGTAGCGATAGTAAAATTGTAAATCACGTTTCGTCATATATCGTGGATCCAAAAGATATTTTCCTCTGAAAAAATAATAAAATACATATGTATTTAGAAAAGATAATGGGTTAGTTAAAAAAAGTATTTAATGCTATGAATTTTACAATAATTTAAAATTGTTAAAAAATTATACTGTGATACAAAAGTGAAGATAAATAAAATGCAGAGGTACTCATATACTAATTCCATTTCGTTATAGTCCATAGAGAACAAATATATTTTTAGTTTTTATGAGCAAATCTACATTATGGAAAAGGGCATGGCTTTTAATAAATAACCCAACAGTCCGGGCGGATAGTCCCGAACTATCTATTTACCTAATTTGGGCAACGAACGTTTGGTTCATCCCACAGTGCCAGTTCTTCTTACCAAAAGTGCCCCACTGGGCACATTATATCACAACGACCACCTTCAAGAAAGGTGAAATTCTTATCCATTTAAATTTTGAGAATAGGTTAAGATCGTTTTGACCTTAATGGTAATTTAAGACCAGAATACCGACAGGAGATGATTGGGCCGCGAACACAGTCCTAAGGGATGACGTGATCTCAATCTACACTGATGGTTCGAGGACAGAATTTTCTCCAAAAAACTAGATCTTCTGTTGTATCTTCAACTATCTGTCAATTTGCACGGTCTTGCGGGCAGACATATATGACATCGATACAGCAGCGAGAAGAATCCGGGAACTGAATCTCGAAAATTCGACCATACATATCTACTTGGACAGCCTTACATCACTCAAGTCTCTTAACTCCAGCGTTATTAAGTCGAAATGTCTTCTCAATTGTATTCAATCATTGGCACAACTGACACAGCAAGTTGAGTTGCTATGGGTTCCAGGACATGAGGGCATCCGGGGAAATAAAATATCTGATGAATGCACAATCGAAGGATTGTCCTTAGACTCAACCCTTGCGCAAAAGGATATTCACACTCCCCTGGTGACCTTATCGAAATTGATGGATGACTGGGATTTGAGTGAGACTGAACTCAGGTGGTCAGATATCACCACTTGCAGAATATCGAGACTGCTCTGGCACATTCTGACAAAGTATAGAACTAAGACTCTCTTGACTTTTAATAAGAACTCGATTAGGCTTCTCAAGGGTACTGGGCACTGTATGATTGGACATACATATGTATGACGGAATGTATGGGCTATCCACGTTATAGCTACTGTAGAAGTTGTTTGGATGAGGAAGAAGAGGAATTGGTACAAAGCCTTCTATGTGACTGCCAAGCCTTACAGGAGCACATACTACTCTACCTTGGTAGAACTCTTTTTTCTATGATCTGGACTGTCTCACGGTCATACCGAAATAAAAGCGTTGCGTTACTTGTAATTTGTTTTTGTTTTCAACGAATTTGTATGGAACTCAACGCTTTAATTTAGGTATGGCCGTCAGAAATGCATCACTAGTAAATATGATCGGTTTTATTAGAAATATCGTTTGGTTCTCACGGGGACCGCAGGAAACACATAGTCAACGAAATTAGGGAGAGAATCAATTCTCCTTTATGTAAAAACTCTCAACATAAAGGAATGATAATTCTAAGGGTATCACAAAAAATAACATCAGAAAAATCGTCTTATAATTGATACATATTATTATTTTCCGTTCATAAACGGATAAATAATAATTGGCTTGAAATCTTTGCATCTCTAAGCTAATTTGTTCAATATTTATCCTGTTTAATAAATAAAGAACATTTTTTCTTATAAGATTACAAATATTCAGTGTCAATACAAAATTTTATTTGCATTTTTGTGACTTTAGAATCCTTTTTCATGAACACAAACATGTAAAACATACATACATATGTACATACAATCCTTAAAGTAAACACAGGAACTAAAAAAGACACGCATACACTCATTCACACATACATACAAATAATTACGAAATGGATTTTGTACTCTAAACATACTCATAACTCAGGTTGAGTTCACCATTTCCACTTTTACGTTTCACATACAAACGCATTTTTTAACAGTTTTACTAGAACTTGTTATGTTGTTGTAAGTTTAATTATGGCGCCGTGAATGCGTTTAATCATAAATGTTTAATTTTTGTTTATTTCAACTTTATTAAATTAATTTATTTTATTCATTTTTAATTTGTTCAATACGACACTGACTTAGTGAAAATTTTGTATGTTTTTTTTAAATTTTTTTTTTTTGACAGATGCTGTGAAAATTTAGCGCATGCGTTATAATGTCTGTCATATGGATGCTGTAGCCAGAATTTTAAATATATCAATTCAATTCAAAACCTTTCGTACTATTGCCACTAAAGTCACAATTTGACTTTACATAAGCATTTTTTTTATATTTCTTTCCATATAGGTTCCTTTATGGCACCAGTTATATCAAGTGCCAGGTTTAGTAAATATTTATCTGTGTATGCGTGTCCTTTTTAGTTCCTGTGTTTACTTTAAGGATAAATATTTATCCCTTTCTTTCCTTTTCGGTTCCTCTCTTGCACTCATTATACCAAGTGGAAATGAGAGTTAATTAGGAGTTTCATGGTCCATCCATACCATGTTCGACTCATCGGCAAATACGATTCTCCTCGTCTTAGAAGAGATTAAAAAAAGAGTCTTAATATGGTATTGTGGAGCAATTCTTCTTCCTCTGTGCCCCAGATAACGGATTTTGGTGGGGTATAGACTTGGTAATGATGTCGCCCACATGTTGAGGTTGTTTGAAGGTAAGGTACCCCCTTCTATAGTAGTCATTGGCTCACAATCGCAGGATGACGACGACACATGACTAGCGAGTAGATCAACACATGCCGCTGGTGCACAGTGGATTGTTTTCATTCAAATTGGGAAGAGGGATGTATTTTATATAAAGGTTAGTTATGCTGAATTTCATCGCGATACTAATGGTGATAAGCAAATTTTTGGACGTTTAAGATATTTTTTAAAGGGGGGTTTGTATGGGGGCTAGGGTCAAACGACGGCCGATCATTATATAAAACATAATTCTGCCAATTATTGATAAGATAGTAGTATATTTGACGTAGTTATGTGTTAAAAACCCAAAATCAGAAGGTCAGGTTGTATGGGGGCTAAGTGAAATAATGGACCGATTTAAACCATTTTCAATAGGCAATCTTCCTTGTGCAGAAAAACTCAAAATATCTTGAAAATTGTGGCCTGTAGCACAAGGTGCAAGTATATCTTGAAAATAAATAATCTTAAGGCAGAAGAAATTGTACACGAAATGCATTAAAAATCCTTAATTTTACATCATGATGACCCTGTTTTTATGGAGAAGAAATATGGTGATGATGATGTTCCTACTAACAATGAAATTACATTACAAATAACATACCTTGCTAGAATAGTGTCACAAAGTATATAGTGGTGTCACCTTTGACGTTTAAAAAAGTCTAAAATCAGATGTTGTCTAGTTTTTGTGAAACTTGTGCATGAAGAGATATACATACATATCTATGTATATATAAAAATGAAAGTGTGTATGTATGTATGTTTGTTTGTTTGTGCTTTATAGACTGCTAAACGGCTGGACCGATTTTCCTGAAATTTTCACAGTTTCTTCCTGTTTGTCTGGAAGGAACTATAGGCTACTTTTTATGTTGAAATTTCATGTGGGCGACGTGCCACGCCCATATTAAGAAAATATTAAATTAGTATATCTGAGATAATATAATAGTTAGAGTCTTCAAATTTTGTCGGGGCAACTTTAGTATCAATATAATTATTTAAGATAAACAGTGGGTGGATTAGCATTAGGGGGCGTGGCACCTCCCATATAAATACAAAAATTCGTTTATCTTAGAAACTATTATAGTTAGAATATTAAAAATTTGCACGAGTAACTTTAACATCCATGTAAACATTTTGGGAAATAAATTGGCGGACTACCCATGAGGGGAGCAGTACCTCCCATATTAATAAAACACAAAAATTGGTTTTTCTGGGAAACTAATAGAACTAAATTCTTCAAATTTTGTACTAAGAACTTAAATATTCATCTGAACATTTTGGAGAAAAAAGAGCGGACTTTCAATGGGGGGCTTGGCACCTCACATATGAATTAAATACAAAATTTCGCTTATCTGGGAAACTAATAGAACAAGATTCTTCAAATATTGCAAGAAGAACTTTATTATACATATGAACATTTTGGAGAAAAAAAGGGCGGACTTTCATCTGGGGGCTGTGAGTTCCCATATGAATTAAATAGAAAAATTCGTATATCTGAGAAACTAGCTAGAATCTTCAAATTCTACATGAAGATCTTTGACATTAATGTGAACATTTAGAGAATAACGGGCGGACTTTCAATGGGGTCTTGGCACCCCCTATATGAATTAAATACAAAATTTCGTATATCTGGGAAAATATTAGATTTTTTTTTTACTTTGTCATCGATTACATTAAAATCTTAATTAACGTTCGGAAAAAATGCATCTCTGGAAAACATTACAGTTAGAATCTTCAAAATTATTAAGAAGATTTTTCATTTATATTGCTTTTAGGGTAGCAAAGCACACTGGGTATAGCTAGTGTATGTATAAACTACAGCTAAAAAATTAGTGTGAAACTTGTGTTGAAAGAGATAGAAATAGTTTTTTGTGATAGTGTGTAAATGCTTTTACAAGGCGCATCTAAAAAGGTGATGTCATTTTAACAGCAGAATGTTTATAATTCATGAAAATTTTTGTCTAAGGTGTCAAACTCCATATAAAAAAAATATTCTTTCACACAACCGATGATGTCAAACTCCATATATTAAAAATATAACAAATGAAAAAAACTTCACATAGTAATGGAATTAAATTAATACAGTAAAATATACATAGTTATACAAAATTTAATTTGTGATTTTCGTTTCTTATCACCATTGCAAATAACAAAATATACTATTTATGTACATTAGGGTGGCCCGCTTGTATGGACGAAAAATAAGGTGTCAATGTTCCCAACTAAAATTAAAGCTTAATTAATTCTAAGATACCATTTCTCAAAACTTTTGTCCTGGCGTCAATATTTGGTGAGCTGGATCAAAGGATAAAAAGGTCCTTTTTTGAGGTTTTTATGATTTTTTCACATTTCTTCCAAAGGAATGATATGAAATATTGGTATCATTAGAAAGATCCCTGAGAGACGCTTTAAATTGCATATCAGAAATTTTTCTGAAACTGCAAAAATAATCGAAATCTTCTAATTTTTCAGGAAATTTTCAGATTTTTTACATTTTAACACAGATGAATTTAAGATAATTCGTTAAAATTAATACATGACAATCCTCAATAAAATCTACGGAAATGTTTTTTTCCGTTTTTCAAAATGCAATCTAGAGCGAAGTTTATTTGAATTTATATACCCCTACTAGCTATACCCAGTGTGCTTTGCTACCCTAAAAATAGTATAAATAGAAACCGCACTTTACGATTTTTGAAGATTCTAGTTCTATTAGTTTCCCAGTTGTACGAATTTTTATTTTAATGCATGTGGGAGGTACCGTAGCTCCTTTTGATAGTCCACAATAGGGGTATGGTACTTCCCATGTTCACAAGAATGTGAAAATTCTTTGTGCAAAATTTTAGGATTCTAGATTCAATTATTCACATGTCAGAGTTGTTGGCGAAAAATTTAAGGATTTTAGTTCTTATAGTTTCCCAGATATATCTGAGAAACTATTAGAGGTAAAATGTATATAAATATACACATTTTTGTATTTAATTGATATGAGAGGTTTAAGAACCCCAAATGAATGTCCGCAAATTTTACCTCCAAATGTTCACTTTTATGTTAATTTTAATATTCTACCTCTAATAGTTTCCAAGAAAAATTAATTTTTTATTTAATTCATATGGGAGGTAATGTTAATGTGCCGTGTGCAAAATTTAAAGATTCCAGCTCCAATAGTTTCCAAAATAAACGATTTTTTGTATTTAATTCATATGGGAGGTGCCACGCCCCCCTATTGCTAGTCCGCTCTTTTTTGTCCTAAGTATTCTATTGTTGATTCTAAAGTAGCTCCGAAAAATTGGAGGACTCTAGCTGTTATATTTTCTTAGATATACTAATTTAAGGTTTTCTTTATATGGAGGGGCCACGCCCACTATAGCTAGTCCGCCGATTTTACGCCCATATGTTCATGTGGATGTCAAAGTTGTCCATACAAAATTTGAGAACTCTAGCTGTTGCTGTTTCTGAGATATGTGATTTTAAATACTTATTATGTATGTGGGCGTGGCACTTTGCCCATATGAAATTTTAAAATAAAAAGTAGCCTATAGTTCCTTCCAGACACACAGGAAGACACTGTCAAAATTTCAGGAAAATCGGTCCAGCCGTTTAGCAGTCTATAAAGTCCAAACAAACATAAATACAAACACACATTCATTTTTATATTATATTATACCATTATACCAAAACATTGCAAAATAATGTAAACAACACATACAAACCGTTATTCATAAAGCAAGTATAACAAACAAGTAGATGCTTAGATATAGATATGATCTATAGTAGAATAAAACCATAAAGTATTATATACCAATGTAAAGCTAATGAAATTGCGGGTATGTGGATGTACATATTATGTACGTTAGATAAATATAACTAGCACAATACCAGTGAGAAAATAGGATTAAAAATATTTAAATAAAATACAAAACATATCGAATTTCGAAAAACAGAAAAAACCATTTCGATGAAATTATATAAGGTTTATAATGTAATAATTTCAATTAATTACATTAAACAATATTATGTAAAAATTTTAAAAACTTAAAAATTTTCCGAAAAATTACGATATTACAAATTATTATGAGTTGTATACAAAATCGTCAAATCGTCGCACAAAGACTTTCATATGATACTTAATTTGCATATAGTCTATTTGCAAAAAATATGATAAAAATCATAAAAACCTTGAAAAAGGACCTTTTTATCCTTTGATCCAGCTCCCCAAATAGTGACGTCAGGACAAAAATTTTGAGAAATGGTGTCTTAGAATGAACCAAATTTTCATTTTCGGTGGGAACATCAGCAACTTTCATTTTGGGACATACCTAATGTACATACATACTTACGAAGACAATTTAAACAAGTATATTTTTTTATTCCAGTGTAAACTTTCGACATGATCACATTAAAATATCGCC